TTCCCTACAAACTCTATGTAAAGTGCATAATGCATTCATTCTTGTGGGAACTTTCAAAGCTGTTTGTGCCAAATAGGACCTTCTTTTCAAACCCAAGATGCATCAGTACAGTAGGAAAGCAACTAACGATTTGGATGAAAATTATTGTTTTAAAATGATTCTCAAAGTGTGTGATTCGATGGTAACTGTTTCGTCGGAGTTCTGCTAAATGCATTACCTAATTAGCCTGTTACAGACTAAAGATGTAACTCATAAAATCTAACCTGAGACTTGATATTATTCTGAACTCCTTGTTTCCATGAGAAATGGCATCTTATACGCAGACACCTGGTTGCTTTACCTGACATTGTACAGGCACTTTTCTCCATAGCTGAATTTAAAGGGCTGTTCTTGACTGCAGGCGGAGCCAAGTTCTGAACATGGACTGTGGGGTTCTTTCTTGATTTTCAGTGGTAGGCCATGAAAAGCCACTAAAAAAAAAAAAAAAAAAAAAAGGCAAAATACCCAAACAAATCAAATGCAGTCAGTAATTAAGTATATCAATCTGTTCCATTTCTTCATTTAAAATGTCATCAACATTTCATATTAACTTTCAAATGTAGGAAAAATCACATTTGATAAATTTCAGTGACAGACACATTTCTGGAGAATCTATATTACTCCTTTTCTGCTTTTATAGGGTAACAAAATGTGAGTGTGAATTTTCTCTTTACTTCAAGTGTAGCAAATCACTTGTAATTTGCAGAGCTGATATGAACAATGCTAAGATGGTCAGCTTTCATAAAGTTTTAAAACACACATTTCAGAAAAATTTCCAAAGACTAAAGCGGAAAAAATAGATAAGTCAAGAATCAACTGAAGACTAGAATATCATTTTAAGCATTAATGAAAGGAAAATATCTCAAATATATCAATAGCAATGGTTTAAAGAAATGACAACTGAACAATGTTTAAAAAAAAAAATCCAGGTATAGGTCTAGGGGAAACTGATGACACTTTGAACAACAACATAAAAACTTCAACATCTTTGAGACCAATAGTCAACTACAAAATATACATTAAAATATCTGTGGGCCTTCTTGCCAGCACTGTGAAGACGAAATGTGAGAAATACATGAAAGTTACTTGTTGCATGTAACTCATCATAAAACTTCATTCTTTATCAAATGATGTTTGGCTCTTTTTTATATAACTCACTGTCTAGTATGCTTATATTCATGGATGCTTAATATAATAGAGGTTATGTTGTAAAATATGAAGAATAGAAGATAAATGTACATTTGAAAGGGGGAAACCCTACATAACTCCCTATATATATTTTTATTCTTCAATATGAAACTGAAAAATATATGTACTAGAGATTCTATTAGAATAACCGAAGTTTCACTATAAATGTGCAATTGTTAAAAAAGGAAAGGGAGGGACCAACAGGTGGCGTAATAGGTAAGGGGCTGGACTTCCATGTGAACATGGAACCACAGTTCCCGTCGCAGACCTGGCAGCTTGCTTTCTTACTTTCCCTCTCTCTCTTTCTCTCTGTCTCTCTGGTCAAGTTAAAAAAATAAATAAATAAATTAATTAAATGTATCTTTTAATAAAGGGGGGAACATAAGCATGGATACTAATTTTTAAATGTTTAATATCCATTAAGTATGTCTAATCAAAGGATAATCACAAAAAGGATATTCAGTGTTAGGGATTATATGTATTTACATATATGTAAACTATACATGTCTGGGATTTTCTTTAAAATACTTTTACATATGGGGGAAAGGATGAATCAAATGAGAAAACATTGAAAGGAAAAAAAGAAAAAAAAAAATTTAAAAAAAAAAAAAAAAAAAAAAAGGCAAAATACCCAAACAAATCAAATGCAGTCAGTAATTAAGTATATCAATCTGTTCCATTTCTTCATTTAAAATGTCATCAACATTTCATATTAACTTTCAAATGTAGGAAAAATCACATTTGATAAATTTCAGTGACAGACACATTTCTGGAGAATCTATATTACTCCTTTTCTGCTTTTATAGGGTAACAAAATGTGAGTGTGAATTTTCTCTTTACTTCAAGTGTAGCAAATCACTTGTAATTTGCAGAGCTGATATGAACAATGCTAAGATGGTCAGCTTTCATAAAGTTTTAAAACACACATTTCAGAAAAATTTCCAAAGACTAAAGCGGAAAAAATAGATAAGTCAAGAATCAACTGAAGACTAGAATATCATTTTAAGCATTAATGAAAGGAAAATATCTCAAATATATCAATAGCAATGGTTTAAAGAAATGACAACTGAACAATGTTTAAAAAAAAAAATCCAGGTATAGGTCTAGGGGAAACTGATGACACTTTGAACAACAACATAAAAACTTCAACATCTTTGAGACCAATAGTCAACTACAAAATATACATTAAAATATCTGTGGGCCTTCTTGCCAGCACTGTGAAGACGAAATGTGAGAAATACATGAAAGTTACTTGTTGCATGTAACTCATCATAAAACTTCATTCTTTATCAAATGATGTTTGGCTCTTTTTTATATAACTCACTGTCTAGTATGCTTATATTCATGGATGCTTAATATAATAGAGGTTATGTTGTAAAATATGAAGAATAGAAGATAAATGTACATTTGAAAGGGGGAAACCCTACATAACTCCCTATATATATTTTTATTCTTCAATATGAAACTGAAAAATATATGTACTAGAGATTCTATTAGAATAACCGAAGTTTCACTATAAATGTGCAATTGTTAAAAAAGGAAAGGGAGGGACCAACAGGTGGCGTAATAGGTAAGGGGCTGGACTTCCATGTGAACATGGAACCACAGTTCCCGTCGCAGACCTGGCAGCTTGCTTTCTTACTTTCCCTCTCTCTCTTTCTCTCTGTCTCTCTGGTCAAGTTAAAAAAATAAATAAATAAATTAATTAAATGTATCTTTTAATAAAGGGGGGAACATAAGCATGGATACTAATTTTTAAATGTTTAATATCCATTAAGTATGTCTAATCAAAGGATAATCACAAAAAGGATATTCAGTGTTAGGGATTATATGTATTTACATATATGTAAACTATACATGTCTGGGATTTTCTTTAAAATACTTTTACATATGGGGGAAAGGATGAATCAAATGAGAAAACATTGAAAAATTCCCAAAACTGAGTGTTAGGTAGGTAGAAATGTATTATAATCTGTTTAAATTCCTGTAAGTCCTAAATTTCCATAATAAAAAGTTTTTTAAATATAAAATGACATCCACAAAGGAGTTAATGTACTATTCCATTAGAAAAATTTCTCCCTTTATAAACACACATGGGATATGTGTGTCTATGTGTGTGGGTGTGCAGGTGTATATGTTTGTGGGTAGTCTACTTCTAGAATAAAAATCAGTATATGATGCTTTTTTTTAATACATTAACTATAACTCTGCTGTTTTTCTAAATAATAATTTTCAACTGTTTATCACTTCTTTGAACATATGCAGCAAAACGTATATATTCAAGTTTAACACTTTGGATTAAGTACTAGATTCTATATTTTCCTAAGAAAAAAACATTAGCAATATGTAAGAAACTCAATCAGCCTTCAAAAAAGTAACATATCATATTATACCTGAAAAAACAGATCTAATTTATATGAATAAAAACTAAGAAGACCTCAGAAGCTAATTAATATGCAGTATGAAAGCTTATCATAGTTATCACACTACTATGTATGTAAAAACTATTGCTTAATTTAAAATATAATAAAGGCCTTGCATCCATGATATAGGAAATGATTATTGAATAGGACACAAAAACCACTAACTATATATGAAAAAAATCAACAAATTAGACTACATTAAAATTAATAATTCTATGAAAGACGCCATGAAATGAATCCAAAGCAAGCCACAGACTTCACAAAAGATGTTTGCAATAGAAATTTTTCTGTTTTATATTTAACATATTATAAATTGCTGCAATTCAGAAAGACACAACAAATGACCTAAATAAAAATGGGCAAAAGACTTGAATAGGCAGTTTCTAAAAGAGGCTACTCAATGGATAAAACAAACAAATAAAGAACAAAAGGTATTCGAAATCTTTACTCATTAAGAAATTATAAAGTCACATGAGATAATCTCTGTACAACCACTAGGATAGTTAAAGTGCAAAACACTGACATTATCAAGTTCTGCAGTAACTTTTAATATGCTGCTGAGAATACGAATTAATATAACCAACTTGGAAATATTTACTAAGGATCATCTACTTTATAATTCAGTTATTATACTCTCAGGTTTATACATCTTAGAGAAAGAAGACATACATTTATCAAAAGATATGTGTAAAAATGTAGAAGCTTTACTCATGATAGTAAAAAACAAAAAACTTCAAATACTTATTGGTGGTAGAATGGACAAATAATTCATGGCCTATTCATAGAATGGAATGGACATTTTGCAGAAATACCAAAGAACACGTTACCTATCAAACATGCAAAAACAGATGTTCTCATAGGCATGAACTTGAAAGGAGGAAACAAAGCACAAAAGAGTGTGTCATATATTAATTTCAAGAACAGGCAAAACTGAGAGTAGAGCAATCTCTTTCTGATTGTAGATGGGAGTCTTATTTTCTGGGAAGGGGCACTAATAACCTCGTACAGTGTTGAGACTGTGTAGTATTGCTCTGGGTGATAGTAATATGAATATGTGCACATATGTGAAACTCATCAAACTGTATACTTCACATTTCTGCATTAGAATTAATGTCTGTCTCCATAAAAATAAGAACTTATCTAAAAACAAAAGGCATGATCAACCTCAGTGGATATGCCTGGAGCTCTACTGCTTTGGGACCAATGAACTTCCTAAAGTGACCTTAGAAGAAAGGGCATGTTTTACTCGGTTTGGTTACTATTAAAAAATTACCAGAGACTGTGTCGCTTATAAACAACAGAAATTTTTTTCTCGTAATTTTGGAGCCTAAGAACATGATCTAGGTATCGGCAGATTCTACATCTACTGGGAGACTGCTTACAGGTTCACAGAGAGTTGTCTTTTTGCTGTAATGTCATATGACAGGAGGTACAAGCCACCTCTCTGAGGTCTCTTTTATGAGAACACTAATCCCATTCATAAGGGTTCTGCCTCATGACCTAATCACCTTTCCAAGGCCTTACCCCCTAATATCACCACAATAGAGACTCATTTTTAACATAACTTTTGAGAGAACTATTATAAAACACCCAATCTATAGTAGGGCATTACTAATGTGCTATCGGAGACAAGTGGATTCCTAAAAACAGGTCACCCAAACCTGACTGATCATTAAATTACCCAGAGAGCTTTTGAAAAAAACAAGGATTCCCAGATCCCATTTGTTATAGGTTGAATTGTGACCTCTCAAAATTTGTATGTTGGGCCAGCAGGTGGCAAGGAGGTTAAGGTAACTGGATTCCACATGGCTGACAGCACA